ACAGTGGTAAATGCATTATTAATTATTCTTCTTGGTTGTATTATCTAGTGCTCTTCAGTCAAGATCAGTTTGAAGGATAGTGGATACTTTGTCACAAACAAAAATCCAAAGTCAGCATTTTGTCAAATGTCCTATCAGTTTGTCATGGAAACAGTATAAAACTTCCCTAAACATGCCTTGAACTAGCAGAACATGTACATTAAGTGCTGTATTTCACCACACCAAGGCACTAAACAATCCTTCCCTCCTTTAAACCCACTAACATCACTTGACAGAGCATTCATTTATCTTATGGACATACAGAGAAGGAAAAACCTGAGTGAAAAGCACTACTTATTCATTCTTTCTCAGAGAGAGAAGGACAGAAGGTGATTTATATGTGGTAGAAACATGTTAACATAAGCAATAGTATCTCTGTGGAAATTAGACAGGCAGTAAGAAAGCTTTCTTGTGGAAGTAAAGAAAGCCTGAGCTGAAACTTGCTTTTCTATTGGACTAAAACTTGTCAAAATTTGAAATTTCTTTTGGTAACAAGTTTCAAAATACCATGTGTGTTTGAATTCATGAGCCAGGTGGAAAGTAAAGGAATCTGAAACTTTTTGCAAACATAAAAATCTGACGTTACTTAGTTCATTTCCAACCCTGTTATTACAAAGGGCTTTCAACACTTCTCTCAGACACAGATTCAGAGGATTAATTCAGACACCGTACTGGAGATTTGTACTTCTGTCTACATCTACAGAAATAGACTTAAGTGATGAAAGAGAGGGGAGCTTCCTAGGATAAATGAAACACAACAAAACTACAAAGGAAAACACAACTGGTCAAATTCACAGTCCCAGTCAGTCCACAGCAGTAAATCCCTGGCACAGCTGTTGGCAAGATCGTTCCAGCACTGACTGTGGCAACTGTGCAGTACCTGTTTCTGCAGGGCTTGCAGCCATTCCCTGGCCACACCTGAGGGCACACACGTGCTCACAGGGGTGTGTGCACTGTCAGGGCTGCCCCTGAGTTGCTGTTCAGGTAAGATGCCTGGCTGGGCTTTCCCTCAAAGGTCACCACCTCTTTATAATGCTGCAAACCCCAAATGGTGCTGCAAGGTGCACTAAATGGGTATTGAGGGGCTCAGGTTAGCTTAAATTACCCTTCTAGGTGTTGATTTTCAATCCTTTGACCCTATGTACAGTACTGCAGGTTTTCTCCTGCTGACTGCTGCTGCACAAGGAGTAGAAGTCTAGTTTTTGTTGAGGCTGATGGCATTGCTTGCAAGCTGGAATACTCTGAATATGTTGGATACCAGTTAGTTTGGAAATTTGCTCTCTTATTCTGTGGTACCACTAGATTAGATACCTTTTTGGAAATTAGGCCAGATGTTCTGTCACCATGGCCAGGAAGAGACATGGCCAAAGTCTTACCCATGGTGAGTGTGGAAATTTTAACTGACACAGTTCAGAGGATGAAGCAACACTCTCAAGGTGATGCCTGGTCAGTCAAATATGTACTACAGCGAAAAACTCATCCTGTCAGCTTATTCCATATGCAACTTGTGTCACCATATCCCACACACAGCCAGGAAAAGAAATAAATAAAGAAAGAAAGTGCTAGTTTCAGACTTCTTGGATGGGCCACATACTTCAGTAGAAATTGTGACAAAATTCTCAAATGTTGAAGGATCTAAAATCCAGGAAGAAAGTGAAGGCCTCCGCCTGCCTGGCCAAGGACACCTCAGCCTCTTTAAACTAGAAAAATAACACACTAGCCATTCAGTTGTCGTGTTTACAAGAACAGTAAAAAAACCCTGAAGAATCTGGGAAAGAAAAGCTCTTTGGTGGGAGCTGGATTCCACAGGAGTTAATTTGAATTTCCCCAGCCAGCTGGAGCCGAGGGAAAGCTGACTTTCCACTACCCTGCACCTTGTAGAATCATTTACACTTCTCAAGTGGATGTAAAAGCACGATACAGACACTAACAGAACCATTTAACACCCACTTTGCAGAGGTGTTAATGTCTAAACAGAGCATTAAGGTCATAGAGAGCGGACCCAGAGTCATTCAATTAGGAGCGACTGCTGAGGAAGCGCAGGCTCCTCTCCTCCAGGGCAATGACAGCCGGGGGCTTTCCCCTGCTTCCCAAACAGGAGCCTTTGTGCAGGGGCACGCTGCGATGGTTACCAAAAGCTGTTCAGAGGAAGTTACCTTTTGGTGGGTGGGTGTCACATGTGCTGGAGAGCTGAGTCCCCACGACCTCCCTTCCACCCGGAGCAATGCCTCTGAGCAGACCCGTGGTGCTCTGCCCGCTGCCACCCCAGCCACGGGCTCTGTCCCCGTGGGGCACTGCCATGCTGCTGCACTCCACTGGAATAAGAGCACAGAGGGAAGTTATGGCAACCAGGACTGGCCCAATATGGAGCTTGTCAGCCCAAAGCACACCTGGTGCACCTGAGCAAGGGATGTGACCTGATGAAGTGCTGGTCTCCCCAGCTGGAGAGGTGTAGCTCCCCCAGGGCAGAGGTGGGTACTGAGAGTGGAGGGCATCAACTGCAAAAGTGGTGGGAAAGCCCCAGAGAGAGCAAGAGCCGTGTGGTCAAGGTGCCACCATGCCATGTTCGGGAAAGGGACTGTGCCTGGAAAGGGCAGAGCAGACTCAACTCCCTGCAGGGCACTGTGCCTGGCCCTGCTGCCTCGGGGGCACCTTTGTGCTGGAGACTGAACTTCAGTGTTTCCTGCCACGTTCCCAGCCAGCTCTCTTTCCCCAGCCCTCTGTGAAACTTGCTGTGTATACACGGAGAGCAATACTGATAAATGCTACCCTCTAAAATAAAATTGATGGCGGTTCCTCCTTCTGCTCTCCTCGTATGTTTTCGTGAGGGTTAGAGAGCACAGAGCCAGCTGAAAACAGGGGAGGTAGAGAACAACATTAATGGGAACAAAAGATGACAGGGGAACTTCTTGTACCTAGAAATATATTTCCCAAAGCACATAATGAAAAAAAGGAATGAGACAGAAAGAGAGGACAAAGGAAGATGAAAATATGCCACAGGTGGTGAAAACACTGAAACTGCCACACACCTCAGTGCCAAAATTCTCAATTAAAAGGTGACAGGTGTGTTACTGTGTTTTGAAGGGAAAAAAATGCCCCATAAGAGATGTTGGCAGGTTTAGAAAATAAATGTCAAATGCGTTCAGCCTTGCCTTTGAGCAGTGTTTCTTTTCAGTTGTCTTTCGTTTTTGTAAATTTTATTTAGTTTCCTGCGGTTCCCTTGCCAGCTCTGTCAGCGCTGGCCATAGATCTGAGAGATGTTGGCCGATCTCCCCTCTAACGGCTGCTCGACTTCCCTGCTGTGCTCAGGGCAGGTTTTACTTGTTCCCAAGCAAGACAGGCCCCTCTGTGCTTTAATTGCTTCGCAGCCACTCTGGCACCAGCTGAGGTCACCCTGAGTGACTGCGGCAGAGAAACAGCAGAAACTCCAGCCAGAGGTATTGTGACGGCTTTTAAAATGCAAAAGGAGCAGAGACCCGAGATAGAGCACTGCAGGCACCTTTCCACTTTTAAATAAACTTAGAGCAAATAAAAGTGTAAAACCCAACCATTGCTTTTTATGGTCTTGTCTCCTTTAATTTAAACCTCTTCTGTTTAAGAAACAATGGTATATAGAAAGCGTTCCTGCAGTGGCAGAGAAAGAGAATACACCTATTTTAACTAGGGAAAAATCTGAATTTACCCCAGATTAATGCTCCCTGCTGCATTTGGCAATCCTCCCCCTTTCGTTCTCTGTTCAGGTGCTGCTGTCTCCAGCGGTGGTCAGGCATGGCATGTGGACTGAGGTGGATGTTGGAAGTCAACCTGGAAAGTCTTTAGAAATGAGCTAGGACACAGGACTTCATGAACTATCCCACTGAAGAGCCATCAATTCAACAAACTGACAGAATCTCTGTCTGGAAAAATCCTTGTAAAACAGTGTTCTGTTCATTTCTAGCCACCCCTGTAGGATTTCCGTGTGAAACATGGAGCCTGGGAGAAAAGGCTGGAGTTTGCTTTAGAGGACGAGTCACTGTGAACATCCATGTCAGGGGTTGGGGAGAGGAAGAGGAGCATGAAGAGGTAGCAAAGTTCTTCAGCCATTATATGGGCCCTGGCAATGGGGTCACTGCTGAGGAGAGACAGGCTGTGCCTCAGGGAAAGCAGGTCACTCCTGGGGCAGAGAAGCACTTGGAAAGCACTTCCTGGATCATTAGCAACCTGTCTCAGAACCAGCTCCTGCTCGACAGCCAAAAGATTCCCGCTGGTGCACTTCTGCATACAGGTCTATATGAACATGGATAGTACCTTTTTCGCATATTAAAGGCAGCTTTTTTTTCACAAAGGGAGAAAAATTTCATCTCAGTGCCACAAATTACTGTTTCTTACTGGGTTCTTTATTAACTACTTGCTTACTCGCTCTTGGAAACCTTTTTAAACTACAAAATGTCTTCTTCAAAATATTAGGGGAATGTCTTCTTAAAAAAGTTGTGGAGTTCCTCTTCAAGGGCTGGGTTTTACATCCCAATGGATGTAAATATTCAGTTTGGAAATAGGAAGATTATGCTTACTTTTAAGTAGATATTTTAGAGCTTCATGGAGAGTGTGATGAGTCCCTCTCCCATTTGTGGATATTCTTCAAATGGAGATCTTTGAAGGGGGAGTCTTTCAAGTGAGCATCTTCCTTCCCAAACTGTGAAAAGTACTTAGGGAAAAATTTGTCTGCTCTTCAGAGAAATCTTATCCTAAGGATTAAGTTGAGGATGGCACTCATGGCATTAGATGCAACCAGGCATGACTTGCAAATACTAACCTATTAAAGTAATTAATTCATTTCCTCCAACAAATGGTGCGATTAAAAATGTGCCTAGGGAATGCTATAAATATACATCCATGACTTGACTTTTCTTCCCAGGAATCTCTGGCTAATCCCTAGTGAATAACCTGTCTCTTAAACCATCAAAAGAAAATGAACAGCCAAATATTTTAAACTATTGCTTTTTATTATAATTACACTGGAGCACAAATAAATAAGCACTAAATTATTGTAAAATATTGTCAATGCACTAAAGAAAGCAGAATTGATCTTCAAACAACATCTTATTACTTCAGAAGTATCAAAGTACATTTAATTACATCTTACCTAAAAAAATCAAGTACAAAAATGAAAAGAAAATTAATATGTATTTATACTGTGTATATAGAAACGGCTAATAATATATGATTACAGTTAGCCTCTAGCTACTCCTTACTCCTACACAATCTCAGGCACATACCTGACAATTTCTAATGAAATATAAAAAAAAGCAACATGACATTCAATTTCAAGATATTGGTAAATGTATTACATCGGAATGAACACAGAATGATTTCATTTTATTTAAAAACCCTGTCATTTAAAAACATAGTGCCATTGTCCACTTAAAAATAAACAACCCAAACAAAAAAAAAACCCCATACTATTTTATACCATTTGCTTTAATTTGTCAAAAGGAGCGATAAAGTAGACATACATTGGCTAATATACGTAAACACATTTTTAGTGCAAGAATAACAAGACCTGTGACTTTACTGTGCTTTCTTGAAATCACAGTGCACTTTACACAAATTGCTACACTATAATGTTTACCTTCAGGAGTTTAAAGCAAAATAAGTGCATACCGAACAATTTCATATATACAGTCTTCATAAGTGTGTGTATATATGTGATCTGTATGTATATACAGATTGCATATTTATACAGACTACAGCTTTAATGACCGTGTGTAACTAAGCACTGTCATTCACCCTGTGACGCAGAAGCTGCTGAGACAAGAGGTGGTGTAGGGAATGTTTAACAGCGTTGTGGCGGCAGCTCTTGGCAGCACAATGTGCCTTTTACTCGAGGGATGTGGTGGGCCAGCAATCAGGGGACAGGTCAGTGGCCTATGTCCTGTTCTGGCTCTGTCCATGACCTTCGGAAACTACTCCACCCGAGCCTCACTTCCCTCCTCTGTAAAACGGTTCTCGCAAGTGTGAGGTTTACTTCACATTTCTAAAGTGCTTTGAAGGTAAGTGCTAAGTTATATTTTACTTCATCATGTTGTCGCGCTTTGAAACAAAAAGCCATTGTTTCCATGGGATACAATGGAGGTCTGGAAGCACATGGGCAGTTATTTAGGAAGGACAACACAAACAGTGTTGAGCAATAAAAGCAAAACAAGGAGTGGTTTGTGGTGGGCTAAGTGTACAAGCAAGTCTGCTTAGGACAAGAATGCTTCAATTCCCTGATCATTATTCCTATTACATATTGATATGAAAAGGACACGATATGAACAAACACTGTCAAACACGTAACTGTTCACATTAACACCTGCCTTCCCCCAAAGGGCCGGGCGCTGCAGCCCAATTGTCTGGACTGTGAAACTGCTTCAGCAATGGGGTTTTAAAGGAACTGCTCCGGGAAGAGACCAGTGTGGAGAAGGACTATCAAGATTGACTGAACACCAGCTTTCATTTTGTCACCAGAGACCTTGTGCAGATGGGGGAAAGGGCTGAGCTAAGTATTTCACACATGGTTATGGAAAATTCTTCTCTTGCCACATTACAAGGAAGACAAAGCATAAACACTTTCTGAATAATGAACCTGTTATCTCAACAGATTTCTCATGACCAACAAGTTGTCTTCTTTCCAGCAGATTCTGGAACTTTGCGAGATCTCTGGAGTTTTTCTTCTGCCATTTTCTTTCTTTAAAAAAAAGAGAATAAGCAGAATATACAGTTGGTGTCTTTTGGATGTAACATGTATCCAAAGATTCCTTCACAGCCTCTGTGGTTTTTTCATGTCTTCTGTCATTTTGGCTGTGAAGGGCTCTTTAAATCCGTGTTTCAATTGTGTACCCAGTCCAGCCACTGTATATTCATAACACACCCATATTTAATGTATGCAGGTATATATGTATGCACACATCTATGCGTATATATAGATACATGCATATATACATATATATGTGTGTACACATATGCATATATACATATACAATAATGCTAATATACATACACACATATAAACACACACTTCATCTTTTACAGAAATCTCAGTTTGGACATCAAAATATACATTAGTAATTAGTTATAAAATATTTAAAAACTTTATTTCAGAGGCTGAAAAGAAACTACTACTGATAAAGCATTACTCAAACTCAAACTTTAGCAATATAGATTACAAAAACCTTCTAAAATTTGTTATTTTTGGTTTTTTTTTGATCAGCAATTACAGCTGTGGCAATGCTGTCAATATAATTTCAAAGAAAAGCCAATATAACAAGAAGTTTCAAACAACACACCTTTTCTTCTCGGCAAATATAATATTAAAATGATTGTTTTAAAGAGGGATGTTTGTGCTACCAAACTTCAGACACGTAGATAGAAATTTAAATATACAAAATATATGCCATAGATCTTTTCTTTTCCCTACTCCACAGAAGTACAAGTTTCCCTTGTTCTCAACAGATCGTTTTGGAAGATATTTCATCGCATGGATTTCACCCTCATAATCAGTATAAGCCATCTCTTTCTCCTGTTAAAACCAGGAGGTCATAATTCTTTGGTCATGACATAATATTCTGTTAAAATGGGTGTAATATAATACAGGATTGCAAGCCAATTACAGAAGCAGCCAGGAAGAAGAAGCGGCATAGCCGGGAGAACACGTTACGTGGGCCTCTGCTTCAAAACCGCATGAAATCAAGAGGGATTTCCCTACTGGCTTTCAAGGGGTCTGAATTCCAGCCTTTATAAACAACACAAGGAAATCTGACACAGCGTAAGTAAGGATGTGTTGCTGGATTTAAAAACAATAAAAATGTAAACAGGTTTTTGTCGCCTTTATTTTTCTGGACCAAAGACAAATGTGGACAGGAACGGTGGCTGCAGTGGCACTGCCTTAACCTGCTGAGCAACCGGGTCTGTCCGTCACGGGCTGTACAATGCTTAGTCACAGTGAACCATGGTCTCTGCTAATCAACTGAATGCAATGAAGGAAGAGTTTTGTTGCAGGCTTTGCTGCAGAAAATTTCGTTTCTTGGCCAAATAATTTTAGCAATTGATTCATATGAAACCAAGGGCAATTTATCTGATTAACATTATGGGGAAAACAGATGCAGAACAATTAATATTTTAAATGCGACTCAGGCATCCACATTAAGCACTTTGGTTTTCAGTGCTTGCAGTTTCACTGTTTCCCACCAGAACTCTCTCCTTTGTCCATCCTCCCCACCCCACCCCCCCTCCAAAGCTAAGGACATCTAACAAGTACAACTCTAGTTATCTTCTACAGCCCTAGCACCATGTTTTTTTGTACTCTTCAACAAAATGTACAACCACATGCTTTTGTACAGAGGCCACATCTAGGCAGGTCAGAGAAATAAAATGGTGGCGGCGGGGGGTGAACAGTAGAAGAAAACATAGAAAATAGGTAATAAAACAGTATAACAGTAACATTATATAGTAAAATTCTTCATAAATTTTTGAATTTTTATATATATATATATATTTAAACAGTGTATTAGTTTGGATGTTTTCAATATATTGGCGAAATATTTACATTTTGATATCTTCTGGATCCAAAAAAATCCTGGATAAATACGTATGCCTTAATCCAGTCAGAAAAGTAACTCTCTCTCTTGATTGACAGATGAGCACTGAATCAGTGTGGGTTTTTTTCCTAGGAAGTTCACCACCTGCAGATAAGTCTCAGGTTAGAGCCTTTGCCTTATTAAGAAAGCAGGCTACCTGTGCTCGGTGCAACACAGTGGAGAAGGCATCCTCCACAGGCCTGTCAAATTGCAGTGTCCCAGAACACAGTTTGTTGTTTGGAATAAGGAGGAGGGCTGTATTTCTTGGTCCCGGTATTCTTTTTCCAACTCGGCAAAATAGGCATGCTGTCCTGTTTGCAGAGTCCTTTCTCTGATTTCTGTCGAGCTTTTATTTCTTTGCAGAGGCAACGCTTTTTTTCTATCATATCCAGCATCGTATGGTCCCCTTGCAACCACTGCATACATGTGACCTATTGGAGGGGGGTAGAGGGAGAAAGAAAAGAAGGAAAAAAAAGAGGAAAAAAGCACACAAATAACTATTTTGGTCATAGATTAAATATGCTGTTTCTTTGCAAGGTCAACTTACTCTTATTTGAAACTCTAATTTGTTTGATGAATAAAATAATCTCTATGCCACCAACAGAATCAAAGCTAGTCTTTACTTCTAACTACTTCTTTAAGAAAAACAGGTAATAAAAGGTCCCTGTTTTAACTTCTTCAGAGCACTGAAAGCTAATAAAGATAAATGTTTTTGGCTAACTAGCACTGGTTGGATTTTAAGTGATGGAACAGATCTTAAAAAGGAACATGGATCTTAACAACATCCTTAAGTTGTGGAAATAAAAAATTCTATACACTGAAACTCATGTTTTATATTGCTTTCCAAATCCAATCTGTCACATTAAAAGCAGGGTGTTAACACTTCTGAGTATCAAGCTAAATATAACTCTCTTTAATTTTGTTACAATGATTTTATGAACTCCATGTGAATTATATGGATTAACCTATCCTACTCTGTGATGATATTTCATTAACTGGAAGGCATTAAGAGTTTAGAATCTCCATGTTTCCATGCATGTAGAATGTTTGAAAATGTGATCTTGATCAAAAAATTGAGGTTAGCATGTGTCTAGCTGTAAGTATATGTCACAGCCCCTCTGAAACCAAGAATGTGGTTTAACTGGAGTTCAGTGGGTTGGTCACGACTGAAAACGTGTCTGCCTTCAAAGGCTTTTGATTGGAACCGAAATCATTAATAGTAAACTATCCTGAAAGGGCTAATTGGTTTTGGATATCACACTGTATACCTGGGAATCAGAAAACTTCCTCTCACCATTAACTTTGCAAATTTAAAGGGATGTCTTGAGTCTCCCAACACGTATTTCCCACACTAGTCATGAATTAAGGATTTTTAAGTGTAAGCACACCATACGTTCACAGGGGCCGTCCAAGTACATCTTTGCTCCTATCATGAAAATGCACGTGTACAGTAATACTTGGGCAGCATTTTATGATTCATGAAGGAAATGTATCCTTATTATTGAAGGTATTTGAGTACATTTAATTGTGCATATGCCTTTAGTTCACAAGTCTTAGAATGCCAAGCGTGGGCATTCACCATGTTCCTAGAACTGGGGACTGGTTTGCTGAGAAGCCACTATAGAAACTTCTATTGCTCTGAGTAGTTTTTGTGGTCAGCTTGAAGCACAGTCAGCATTCAGTGATAAACAGATAAAGAAAATATTCAGATTCATACCAGGAAACAAAGCAAAAGAAACAAATGTGAGCAAGCCTACCAGAAAAAGTAATAATAAATTATGTACTCAAACAGAAAAATAAATAGAATACAAAAATGTGTGTATTTTTTTGTTAAAAAAAATAAGGAACAAAACAGGATAAAATCATTTTAGATAGAATTCCCTTTCTTTATACAAACACAAAACCATGCTTACCTTATACACCAGATAGTACTCTGAGTAGAATAAGTTTAAACCACAGTATGAATCTCAATATTGAATATTCTTATGAATTTTGAATTACACAGGCAACTTATCTGCAACACGTCCTCCTGAGTGGCCGAGCCATTCTTCGGGAAGTCTGCTATGCCTGCTTTATTAATTGAATACTTATCTTTCATTTCAGGAGTGATCTAACGTTTACTGTGGTGCAGGCAGGTGTGAGGCACATCATCTGCCACGGCCATGAGACTTTGTCTCTTTGGGTGCCCAGGCTTGGTCCAAAACTCACTGACTGAACTGGAGATTCTCCCCTCCCCACCCTGGGCTCAATTCCACAGATGTCTGGATGAGGCTCTACCTGACACAGATTTCCTGCCCCTCTGCTCGTCAGTGATGGGTCAGTACTTACGCAGCAGTGTCTTCAGTATGGCTGGGTCCTCCTACGCGGGGAAGGACAGGGACACAGTCTGCACACAATTCATTACCCAAAATATTCACCAGCACACCAGCTTCTGTGCTGGACTTGACGACAACAGCGCTTGAGTAGGGGTTTCCTCTTCTAGGCATCGGGAAATACCTTCTCTTTTATAGCCCATCAGGCAAGCAAACAGAGCATGTGCCAATGCCAATCCCTTACGGAACGCGGTGTGCTCCCGTCACCATGCACCACACAGCACACACAACAGTCACCGTGAGGGTGTCACATCCACACTGCCCCCACACTCACCACTGTACCACGCGCAGTGTACTGCCAACACTGTGTCTTTTGGTAGCTGACCTCCTTCACGGGATTCAAGGGGAGTAAAGAAGCATTTTGCCATGCTAATTTCTAAAACACCAGTTGCAACTTCCCAAAGACAGAAATGGTGTTGTAGAATGTATCAGTTACACGGTCACTCTGCCACCCCATGCAAAACAGCCCCTAAAATAAACCCAAGAATAGGCAGCTTCAAAATCCTTTTTTATATCGGCCATTGTATTTTGTTACAGTTAGTGAATCATATATTATGAAGAATTAAGAGTTTTTCCACTTTCCCAGACACAGATTTTCAAGTCCACTTGTGATTTTTTTAATCCTATTTTTGTTCAATGTCTAAGTCCTTCGCACTAGCATTTTCTTAAGTGTACTGTCCACATGGCACAGTCCTCTCCTGTACCTGCATTCAGGTAACTGTGTGTACAGGAAAAATGTGCAGAGCTGGTACATGCAAAGTCATTTGCTAAAATAGACCAAGTGAACACATATAATGTGGGAAGGCTTGAGGAAAAAAAGCTTGAATGTGAGAACAAATATGAAAGGGTTTTATTTGATAGTTTTGTCTAATGTTTAAGTGCAGCAAATTAAAAATGTTTCGAACAGGGTGCATGGCCTCCTGAAGCTGCAGAACAGACCTAAGAGGAAATCCCCAGCTTGTAGATCAATGAACTACAGATATGGCAATAACCATGTTGATGATACAAAGTCCCAGAGGGTTAACTAAATTTTTAGGGTGTCCTAGACAAATAACAGGTGCTGAGGCTCACAAGCCAGGACTCAGCCCAGCTGATTAATCACAGCAAAAGCCCCTGATGACTTCAGTAGGGCTACCAAGGTGTCTAAAGCTAATGTGTTTAACACTGCAGACTTAGGCCTAATCTTTCCTGTGACTAAATTGATGGCACTCACACTTAGTTACAGCACTAATTTTTTTCGTATCCTCTCTCCTTTCTGGCTTCAGCCTGCTCCTCTGGTCATACATCAGGTTGTTAATATCCCTGCTAAATCATAACAAGGAATTTTTTCAGTGAGAGGCACAAAAAATAATGATGTTACAAGATAATTTATGGAAAAAAGTTGAGCATTCAGAACACTTCACAGCTATACAGCTCTCCTGGGAAAGATCCCATAGTTCTTGAGGAATGGTACACATACTGCAGCATGTCAGAGCTTGGCTGCAGATGTGGATGTAGGCAGGCAGGCAAAAACTGCATCAGCACTGGAAGTAAGAGCCAACAAGACACAGCACAGGAGAGACAAAGTTAGTTTTGACTGAAGAATCTTGGCCCAAAGCCTGTTCTTACTGAAGAGGAACTAAAGAACCAGCACCTATGTTAGGACTGTGAGGAGGGACCTTCTGGAGAGTCCAGAATGTGTATCAGGTACTACGTCACATAATATCCTTTGGAATACAGAATTTACTAATTATACATCAGTTTTTGTTTTGAAGGAATTTTTGCTCATTAGATTATCCAGCGTCTAAGAAACTTTTTTCTTTCTTTTATTTTAAATCAGACAGAGCAAGAGAGTGAAGGAAAACACCAGGCAAAAGCCCAGAAGTTTGGACATTCATCATGGAGGGGTTGGAAGTAGGCTCGAATCCTCGATGCTAAGCAGGCAGTAAAAGCTACGTGATAACCTGATGTGTAGGAAGCACATAGGAACATAGAGTGATTGGATAAATTCACTCACCTGAACATGACTGAGTGCAAGACCAAATGAGGATGTCTGACAAGTTCCTGGTAACCACACTAGACCTTTGATTAGCCATCGGTTTCCAGTTCTCCTTCAAAAATCTTCTTAAAAGCAAATACTTATGTCAAACTTGAACATCAACGACAAAAAGTAAGAAATGTCTTCCACTATACAAAACTGAATTCTTCTATTCTGTGTTAATCACCCATTTTGTTGAAGGCTTTAGGAGAAACCAGTCTATGTTGCCACCTTACTTTTACTATTTGCCTTCAGTTTTCTAATACTTTTATTTGAAAACATTGGAAATAAATTTTATTAAGATCTGTTATGTACTCTTGGGTTCTATGTTGGCAGTGCCGTGGAACAAGAAGTTTCAAAACAATTTCAAAACTTCCAGGGGTTTCCACCCCTTGGGGTCTACCACTTCTCTTAGCCTCTGGGGGAAAACAAGATTCAAACCACGACAAGAAGTAATACTATAAACCCATCTTCAGCTAAGAAAAAACTACATCTTTACAGATCCTCAAAAAAATGTAAAATCTTTTGCCTAAGAAAATCTTTCAAAGTATAAAAAGATCACTTCTGGTGAGTGTTTGAATGCTTTATGAAGGTCAGAGAAAAAAACCAGACAAAGTTGTTCCCTTCTCTGCAAAGCGAAAACAATATATTTTTGTGTGTAGGTGACTCCATTAGCAGTGGGCCTGACTTCATATCTCATACAACTGAAATTTTGTATTATTCCAGAAAAATAATTAGCAGTCCTGATGGTTTACAAATGCATGTATTGCTTAAATTAGATTGCCCTGAGCTAGACCACAAAACTGTCTTGGAGCAGAGGTTTCACGGGCAGAACATGTCCAGTTCATTTGCTCTTAGAGGCCAAGACTTGAAGCCAGAGGTCAGTACATGCTGTAGCTCTCTGCCACATCAAAATTTACTGAGAAAAGCACATAATCCCAGGGAAAAATCAGAACAGGCTTTGGGGAACAGACAATGACTCACGCTGCCAGGAACTCCCCTGTGTCAGAGCAGAGTATTTCTGTTTTCTATTGCCCTGGCA